CAAGAAAAATAATAAGCAGGATACCAAATATGTACACAGCATTCCAATTAATTAAATTTCATCCTCCTCCAATGAATACATAAATTGTTGCTACCCTAGTTACTGTACAGTTTGAGGGACTTGCTCAGCATCAACCAAAGGAACCAAAGTAAACTCACAAGATCTTGGTTTACTCTCCTGTGCTCAGACAAGACCTCCTTCTAGATATTAAACTATCACTAAGCAACCCAAAACTCTCAGATTGGCTGTGAAAACTGGAGCAAGAGCAACCAGGAAACAATTTTTAAGACTATGGCCACTAAACTGTCCCAAGGACTCCTGTTCTTCTGTGAATGAGCACTTGTCATTTCAAGTACCAGCGGTGATGCCTGGTGGCAACAGCCAGAGGACTGAACAACCTGGTTGTGCTATCGAAGCGAGGCATGGCTCTAATCTGCAATGAGGAGATGACTCCTTCAGAGAGGCCTGTTATAAAATTATCGAGTGACACAGGGGGTGGAAGGAATCAAGCCCATTGTAATTGAACTGACTTGAAATAATAAATGCACACACTTTCTTTAAACACAGCTTGCCACATCCTGAGAATCTGGAATCAATTCCTTCCCTTTCAAGAAGCTTAAAAGTGGTGGGACTTTGATATGGCATGAGCATGTTCGCTTCTGGGCTTACAGCCCTCACCAGCCCGTTCCAAACCTTTCAACGTTTTTATAAGACAGAAAAGTTAGGAAAACAAAGATGGAAAAAAAGAATCAGAAATTCAAGGAACTATTAAATCAGAGCAGCCTTGCTGCCAAATACCTTTGGTAAGTAAATGAATCATGATCAATAACATATTGCCACACAGACTTACAGAAGAAGGTTATCACCTGTGTTGGTGCCAGGCATAAAACATAACGGCGTGTGGCTAATGAAGTACTGCATGAATCCAGAAAAAAGTACTATTTTTCTCTCTAATGTTAAAGCATTTTACTTCAAAGTAATTTTAACTCATCCAGAAACAACATTATTTTTTTTCCACAAAAACTTTTTCAAAATCGATAGGTTACTATGAAACACTTCTCTTTTCATGAGGTTGCATTTGTAAGAGGAAACTGTCTTGATAGACAGAGACCTATTTTATTAAGGGGCTGTTTCAGCCCTGATGGTAAAGCTGCTTCCTTTACATATTCACATATTTGCCAGCAGAGGGTATCACAATATTAGAAACAAAGAGACATATGTATCATTGCGTCGATTCATTTACATGCAAGAATTCAGACACACACTAAACCAAGAAATTACAAATCTTGTTTTCTTCAGTAAATTTGTCATTATCAGAAAAAAAAACCCCAAACAAACCCCAAACATTTAGCCACTTAAAGGCTACAGACTCTGTTACCAGTGTCAACTCACCCCCTCTCTCAGGATAGGAAATATTGCAACAACATTGTCAAGTCATGCAACACTTGAAGTCTGAAATTGTTGCATGACCCTGGCTGTAGACCCTCCTGGAAGGAAGATCAGCTTGGGCTTGCCTTTGGCATGCATTAACTTCTCATTATTTCTCACGTCCAGGATTCTCACACTGCATTGTAAACTGCATGATCTCTCCTAAACCAGTATGCTATGAAGAATGATCATATATAATTAAGCCTAGCCCACACTTCTCGGAGATAGAGATAGGCAGATGCTATTAATTCCCAGCCTGATATCCAACACATTAATGAATTCACCTCCCTGACTCCCAGGTTAAGAGAACACAATTTAAACAATCTGATGTTTGGTGCTTTAGTTTACTTGATATTCAGCACTCTCCTATTCCCAATCAAAAGAAATTAAAATAATTTTTTATATACTGGTCTGGATTCTCTGTTCTATTTTTGATTTATTAATAAGTCTTTTTCTATTTGTGTATCTTGATCACGTGCAACTGATGTTCTGGTCACTGGTGTCACTGGTGTGGCTTTCCGGATTAACCAAAGCACTTGAGTCAGCTGGAATGAGGAGCCAATATAGAGTATGACTCTGAAACATGTATAATTACTTTTATCTGAGAGCTGGGGTGTATAGAAACTGCATAAGAGAACCACAAGCAGCAATCTCTGTTCTTTCTGGATCTTACCTGCTCACGTGGAGACAGCGAAAGGCATATTCTCCTAAGTAATTATACTTTATTTATAAAATGCTTTCTGTTACTATAGAACTATATACAACTACTTCTGCTGTTACATATGGAGGATAAGGCATCATAGCCTGCTGCAAAATGGCATGTATTGCCATGGCTCAAGGCTAGAGCACCAGATCCATTTCTGATTGGTGTTGCAATTTAAAAAAAATACAAATAAAAAATAAATAAGCTTATTACAAAGGAAATAAATAAGTTCATTTCTCCCTGGAGAAAAGGAGGCTGAGGGGAGACCTCATCACTCTCTACAACTACCTGAAAGGAGGGGGTAGAGAGGTAGGAATCAGTCTCTTCTCCCAAGTAACAAGTGGCAGGACAAGAGGAAATGGCCTCAAGTTGAGCCAAGATTAGAAATGAGGAAAAATTTCTTAACTGAAAGGGTTCTGAGGCATTGGCAGGGGTTGGCAAGGGCAGTGGTGGAATCCCCATCCTTGCAGGGATTGAAGAGACATAGTGCTGAGAGACATGGTTTAGTCAGGGACTTCTCAGCGTGATGTTAATGATTGGACTCGATGATCTTAAAGGGCTTTTCCAATTCTGTGGAAATTCTGGAAATTCTGTGATATATGAAATAAGTATATAGTGGTGCTGTCCTTTCCTTTTTTACATAGTCTTTTCACTGCTTAAGTGATCTAACCTTTTAATTAACTCATTACCTGCCATCCAAATCAGCCTTCAGAATAACTGCTGTAGGTTCAGGTGAACTGGATAGAAAAGTGGGTAAAATGTTCCTGGAATAAGGGAAAAGCTATATTTGCTTAGTCCTTGAAAAATGAAAGTAATTTACTCTGCTGAAAATTAGGCCTACTTCCTGCATGGCATAAGTCAGCACTGATAGTCCCAAGGACTCCTAGGTCCTCAGGTAGTTTACTCTGCTAATAGAAAAAACACGTAGGTACCACTCATATTCTGCTTTTCTCTGCTTTATTCTCCTCACACTGCAGCACTCCAGCTGTAAAAAATTAAGCTAAAAGCTTTTCTCTACTTCAAAGAGGAAAGTCGAGTACCAGTATGTTCAGAGATTGCAATGTGTCTGGATATCACAGGAGCACAAACCAGATAACAAAATGGAGTGAGGACATTTGCAGGGAACAAAGTTTCTGCAGCTCAACATCTCTTTTCTCTATAACCTTGGCGTGCTCATTTACCATTGGGAAGCATTTTCCTGTTATTTTCAAAAGTACCTAAACCAAGAGTTTGTTGGACAGAACTAGGGAAAGCTCCCATTAATCACACTGCAGCTAGTAAATATGTGGAGACCCGGTCACCAGCACTTTGTGGGGTTAGATTCCTTATCTCACAGTAGCGGATATCCGACCTTGAATTCCAGCTCTGGTTATAGCCAGATGCAGACACTTCTAGGACAGCCATTTATTACTGGCTGAAGCTGCCAGCCCTTAGGAGTCCAGGGATTTGAATATTGCAGAGTCACTGAGAAGCAACGCGTTGGGATTATGCATGTGGACAGACACCTGTGGCTGTTTCAGAATGCAAGGGGCAGCTCAGCTGAATTTAAGATTTACAGTTGCAGAGCAGACCATAAAAATTCCTTGTAAATGGCCAAGATATTTTATTTTCACTGTAACATTTATTTAGTCTAACTCTTAATTTATCTTTCTTCTACAACTTCCTACAGAGGTTAGCTGAGCATCCCATTAGCATTAAGACAAAAAAAAAAAACCCAAAACTTTTTAGCATCCCTGAGAAGTGAAGCACTATAATTATTTCCTTCTGTTAACAATGCAAAAATATTAAGGAGCAGATTTTTATCTGACATAAATCACCACTTACCCATTTTCATCTCATGGGTCAGCCCCAGGCAATGAAATATAATCACACAGATGAAATCTGTGGCAGAGCTGGATCCTGAAAAAAAATCTAGTCTTCTCTGAATGATATGGTACGAGCGCATGGCATTTAACATGCCTTGGGTGTCTGTCTGTGAAACTAGTAATATAAGGTAAGATGTACATCAGTGAGTGACTGCAAATATTCTACTAGATCATCTCAAGGGATATGGCAGTGTAAATCCGTTAGCTTTCATGGAGCCACAGGAGCTTAGACCAGCTGAAGCCTTGCCTCTCTGAGGGGAAAGGAATGTGGAGAAGAAAAGCAATTTAATTACAAAGACAGTGTAGGATGCATGTAAATATGCATGGCATCCAGCTTCTTGAGGGAGTATTTCTTTTAACATACAAACATGTGAGGGAAAATCTGGTGCTTACAGAGTGCAATTACTTTTCTTAAAGCCACTTCTTTCATTTAATTACTTTTTGTTTAATGTCTTGATATAACTCGGTTCATGTGAGCAAATTAGCTATAACAGAATAACTTAATCATGAGATAAGTGGGCCAAGAGTCTGGTGGCCACATCTAACAAATTATGAAGGGTCAGGGGGCATGGGTTGCTCTCATCCAGTCACTCACTGTTAAATTTTTAGTACTAGCACAGTTTGGTTCCAGTCAACACACACTCCTCTAACCAGTGTCTGGGCAGAGTAGAGGAGGTAGCACGGACCACCAGCCACTTCCAGTAAACAGTATGGGATCATGTTCTGATGAGGAAACTGGGCTCTATGGACAGGAGCCATGTCATGGTAGTTGGTAAAGGGGCTGCTAAACACCCTGTGGCCTGTTTTATTTACTAGTATAGATGTAGTTAATTCAACTGTGGATGTGTGAATAGAGTCCACTGAACCAACCATCTCAAGTTGATCAGCAGCAGTACCTGATATCATATGAATAGAGTGTATAATAAAATGATGGAAGAGTTGCAAAATTATTCCATTTCTAAGCACACAAACTCCCTGGCACATTTAGTAACGATCCTACTCACCAGCATTATCCTGCTGCTTGGTATTTTTGATGTATGCAGAAAATTTGGAGAAGATATCGATTCCAGCAGTGTTTGATTCCCGGTGCTTAGCAGCCAGCTTGGGGTATCTCAAAAGGGAGAAGAAATGTGGAGAGTAATATCTTGTTATCAGCAACATAGTGGTGATTACAGACACAATTTACAAGACATAAAAAAGGCCCTGTACCAGGAACAGCAATTAACACTGTCATTTTTCTAAAAAAAACCACACCAGTTTGAAAAGTCTCTTTTAATAATATCTGTGTCTGTCAAGGCAGGCGTTTGGATAGTTACACAGAGGTGGCTTCATGACAAATGTAATTGCACTGGTGCTTTATGGTACCACGACCCAAGATACAGTGGCCTTAAATCAGGAGGAAACATAAATTTCCAGAAAGGTACAGGGGAGTTTGGCAGGAGCTCTCTCTATTATGAATGGCAGTTGTGTCTAATTCCCTACGTTGAAATGTACTCCAGGATGTAATAGCGAGGCATGTTAGTATTACCCAGGTGAAGGAACATAAAGTTTTCAGTCTCTGAATTGTTTTTTAATAGACATCTGGTGCAAAGGCATATATTGATTTGAAAGACCAACACAAACTAACATCTCCTACTGATTTCAGTGGTCTTGGACCAGAATATAGAAAATTTAAATATCTGATCTCTTGCCTCAGCCTGGCCTATAGCTGCTGACTCAGTTGGAGGTAAAACACTCCATAAGGAACTGAGCCAATTTTAATTGATTCATAGATTTTCAAGTCCAAAACACAAGCCAACAATTTTTTTCCCATTATCCTAGTATTAAGTCCAAAATGTTTGACTAACTAAGGCATATCTCGTGAATCTGAACCTTTCCTTGGTAGCTTGTTCTAATGGTTAATCATCCATACTGAAAAAAATCTGTGCCTTGTTTCTAATCCGAATTAGTTGGGTTATAACTTCCAGTCATGGGCACTTGTCATTTCTCAACTAGAATAATGAGCACTTTTCTGCCTCCAGAGCCTCTCGTACTCTGTAATCAGTTCCCCTTCCAGCTTTTCTAATATACCATACAGCTCAGAAACCTCCAGTTTTTCACTATAAAATGCTTTTCCTGGCACTGATATTTTGTGTGGCAATTCTCGGCATCTATTCCAAGTTATTTTTAGCTTTGTAAAATGTGGACACCAGACCCCTACAAAATTTTTCTAGTATTGGTCTCCTTAATTCTGCATACAAGGGCATCCTGAAATGTGTACAGAGAAAACATTCTGCAGTTATTAGTCATACAAGTAACCTTCACACATGGAAGTCATCTCACTGAAGCCAGCAAGTTTCATAAATAAATATTACTCCTGTAAGTAAAGATTGTAGGAGGGAGTGCTTTTTAGGAACTCCTCTTAGGACATCTTTCATTCCTAGGAAATGGAATATTGACTGAAAAAACTCCAAGTTCTTACTTTGGAGGTGCAAGAGTCTCTTCCAAGAATTCCTCAATCTTGTTAACATCTGTCTTGACTTCTCCATTAAAAGTCAAGAAAGGTGGGTGGGTCCCAGGAGCCAGATTGTGTAGGTCAGCTGGCTTTCTGCAGAGACAGAAAAAGTCATGGAATCACTAATCTTTATGGTCAGGTAGCTGTACAGTTTATAGTTCCTACAAAATCAGTTTGCTCTTCTTTTTTTTTCCTGTAGTTTGTGGTTAGAAGACTTTGAAACTACCCCAAGCACCCTGTTTAATATAAAAACATTCCACAAGAGGAAAAAAAAAAAACAAAAACAACCAAACCTGAATCCAAACTATTTTGTTGTGCACCACAGACTCTCTAGGCTAGAAACAAATCTGATCGAACTTGGCGAGGCCTTTCTGTAAGGCAAACATTGGATCATGTAACTATTTTCAATTAAACTGAACAATTTTTACCTTTTCAGGTCAACAGTGGTGACATTGAACACAACTCCTTTGAGCCACAGGATCATGAAGAGACGCTGGGAGAATGGGCAGTTCCCAATGCTTTCTCCATCTATACCAGCCTGAGGGATGGAAAGAGAAGAAAAATAGATTTCAGACTTGTTAGTCACTTAGCTCGCTCAAGATGGAAAATTGGATGCTGAAAGACAAATAACCAGTTTAAAAATGACTGTCAGTGCCTGTTGTTTAATACAGTTTATCATCAGCACAAGAATACAGTTACTCCAGGATTCAGCCTTCATCAGGATCTTGAGAAAGCAACCTGGTGCCTCTCCTGAGGACGGATGTGGGTAAAGATGTGTCCTTTGCAAGCAACATCCAGAAGACTGTATATTCTTTCAGTTTCTCTCATCTTTACATGAATGCCTGCTTCATGGACATGCTAGAAAAATTCAGGACAGGTTCTCTGCTCTATTTAAATCTGTGGACTGCAGCTCAAGATCTGCTTCACTGTTTTACTATCCAAAACATGGACTTTCAGATCTAGACTTAAACCCAAGCACTCCAGACATTCACTTATTCTTGTTCACATCCAGTAAAACAACAGCCTCAGACACAACCAACCAGATCCAGACAGAAATCTCCATCCGACCCCTTCCAAGGTTCAAGGCAGATTTCAGCCACCGCATTCAGTCTGTTCCTATCTCTAGTACCTAATGAGTTGCCTACAAACCACTACAAAAAATAAAAAACTGCTAGTGTTAGCATTGAGGAAACAGACTATTTTTTCCTCTAAAAATTTATGGTCTTCAGCCATGCAAATTCTGACTTTGAGCCATAGAGGGATACAAATAACACCAGTTGAACTGAGCCAAAGCTGCGTCCAAGGACAACATCCTTGTACAATAATTATGCTTGTGGCCAAAGCTTTCAGGACGATAATGGTTTTGATAGATTTCCATTTTAATTTGTGGTACCATTGTGTTTAAAAGATTCTTATAATCCTGGTGAAGCAACCAACCTTCCGTTGTTGACCCACATGGGTTGCATAACTGTATTTTATGGACACAGTGTGTGTCCGAAAATGGCTGATGAAAGAGCTAAGCAAATGCATCTCCTTTTCCTTTGGAGAAAATATTATATTACTCTGTTCACTCTCATAAATTTTATTTTATTATTAAGCTGTGAGATAGCATTTCTCTGTCTTAAAGGAAGAATCACTTCTAATTATCTCAGTTCTGTGAAACATTCACAGCACAACTAGAAACATTATGAGATGGGTAGAGTTGCTACAAATTCAGGCCTTGCATGTGAAATGTTTAGCTGAAGGATTTTCTGTCAGGCATTGTGAATTTTCCTCATGTCTTGAACACAGCTTTGATGATTTGGGGTTTAAAAACACATTCCACATTTCCTATACACCAAAATATGGAGAGAATATGGATTCAAGCCATGAAGAAAACCCATTGTAAAGTTTAGGGCTACGTAAAGAGTTTTTCTCTGGGTTAAGATTTAGTTTCAAACACTCAGACTCTAGAGGTATTTGGATATGGGGTACAGTTTAGCTGCACTTTTACCTGAAATTATGGATCTGCAATATGCCTGGCACATGGCATATGCAAGAACCAGCAAGCAATGTGAGTGAAACAGTGGTATGGCATGAGGATGAGCAAGAGAAGATGCATTTTACCATCAGCCTGAGGTGTGAGTAGCCTAGTTCTGCAATATTTTATTAATTAAACAGTTAGCTCTAGTCTGCAAATTTCATGGCAAAATGACAATGTTACCATGGGAATACCAGGCACCACTGTATTCCATGCAACAGTTGCTGCAAAGTCACATTTGTTGATTTGGCTTTGGTTGTTAAACCATTGCCAAGAACAAGTAACTTGTTACTCTTCCTGAAAAGGAGTAAATGCTATAGGAGAAAACAGTGATATGACACCAAATTTCTCCTTGGTTTTTTTCACCATGTCAGTCATAATCATATCCTTCATAATGGAACTGGCTAAAAACAATATATTATAAGCCTAAAATTTTGAGAAAAACAGATCGACAACTGAATTTGAAGGCAAAAGAGGGCAGGCAGAAGGGTTGATGCTCATCTTAGCTTCTCTGGATTTACTTTGGCTTATAACTCCATTGATTCTGATTCACCTGACTCCCTTCAAAATGAGTGTAAAACCCTGGTTTGCCAAGTTCTGTAAATACATTGTGAGCAAAGGGTCTTGTCTCACAATAACATGCCAGACCTCCTGGAGCTGCAGGTTTCCATCCTGCATGGAGGCAATCTCCTGCCTGCCCTCATCACCCACTTCTTGTGCTGTGAGTAATAATTTCATCTTTTTCAGGAAAGAGACTCAGAGAGAAAATTTCCAATTATATATTCTCATACAAAGGTTAGGGATTACCCAGATCTGCGTCTTTTCACATGTCCTCCATCCTGCAAGGCAATGGTGAAAAACTGTCTCAAGACCAGAGAGGATTATTGGGGGAACAAAGCACTTGAATGGTAATGAAGACACAGAAGTGATGGGTCATGTGAGGTTAAGGGTGCAGAAGTCACTGGGGACAGGAGAAAGATGTGGAGTCTGGGAGAAATAAGATTCACTGAGACATCAAAAATAAAATTGTGTAGGTCAAACCAGGCCTTCAACAGCCCAAAATGTTCAAAATATCTTTCCAACACTTCCAAAAGAGTGGGAAACATTAATTGTTAGAGACACATTGGGAATAGACAGAGGAAATTCCAGAAATGAAAGATAAACTAAAGAAAAAGTACTGTATGGTCTCTGTTCAAAGCTCCTGGATCTGGAAGCCAGGCTCATGATTTGGGTGGAGTCTGACTCATGGGTTTTGATCTCATGTGACTGGCATAACTGAAAACACTACCGCAAATCACAAGGCAAACTGGTGACAGAGGAGGGAATAGAATCAAAATCTCCCCAGCAACACAATTTATCCATTAAATTCAGCTCTTTTCTTGCAGAAATTATAAGCAAGGCTTTGCTGGTTTTGTGAATCCTTTCTCATTGCTTCTAACAGCAGTCAGTAATTCAGCACTCAGAAAGAGCAAAACCTTAGTAGGTAATAACATCAAAGGCCTTTCAGACTGTCTCGAGACCCCTTGTGAAGTCTATTAACTACCAGGAGGAGATGAGGAAGAACAGAGAACTTCCCAGGCTTAGTCAATCTTAGCTTCAAATAAAACCAGCTTGCTTCGAGCACCCCAGTAGTGCTTAAATACAAGTCTATTATGTATCTGTCCAAGGTTAAGGGCTCAGAAATGCAGGAATTAAATAATACCTTTATCAAGATCAAGAACTCAAACAGTGGATGGAAAGAAAAGAACAAATAATTGACAAGCTGGAGAAACACCATTTATCCCTGCTGTTATTCACAAATGAGCACAAAAGCTTTCTCATGTAGCTTCCCTGAAGCACAGCAAAAGTGACCAACCACTTACGAAAAGGAGCAAGTTGATGATATATGCACTCTCCCTGCCAGTAACACCAGATATGGCAACAAGGGATGTAATGATTGCAACTAGGGATAGATCTGAGGCTTTGTGGGCATTAGGATCAAGGAAATAGAGTTTTTAAAGTGCACCCAAAGCTGTGAAAGGGTTTCAGAGCCTCCTTCTCCCTATGGAGATGGACCTCACTTGAAAAGGCAAATTCCCAGAGTGACTGTGGAAGAGTAAAACAGATCTGAGGATTTGCTGGGTGGGACTCTTTGTTAAATGCTCATCCCACTGAAGTTTAACTGAGATGTCTAAGGGAAGGTCTCCTGTGTTTGCAAGGCCAGGACGCACATCCAAAAGATGAATCTGTCCACCTTTCACTTGACTAAATCCAACGAGTGTCTGAATTGAGGTGGGATGAGTGTGGACCCCAGCAATAGAAAAGCCTGGAGCTGGTGGAGGCAGAATTTCTAGAGAATTATTTTGCTCCATCTTGGAAACATCAATTTCTGCTCCTGTTGCTTTGTAAAGCTTACTCTTATTAGTTTACCTACTAAAAAAATATGCTTTTCTATTTAACCTCTAGCTGTGTAGGTACTTCACACCAATTTATGCAAGGTCCTGCCTTGGAACTTGGAATAGTCACATCAGGAAAACCCCACCATCATACCAGCTGCTTATTTCTATCTGAGTAATGGCAAGAATGAACAAGATGTTCTTCTTTGTGATTTATAAGGCAGTCCTCCTTAAATACTTCAGTTATTTTTAATGAATTAATTAAATCTTAAAGATATTTGTCTGCACAAGTGGGGGATGTATGGACACATTTCCAAGGAACAAAATTAAGGTGGTTTGGGGTGGGGGAGGGGAAGTGTCTGTGATTTTCAGTTTGTGCCAAATATTTTTGTAAAGTAGCAGTAAGTATAGAGAACATTCAACCACTGAACGACGCGAACAGGGAGCTCTTCTCAGGTTCAAGCTACTATTTTGCTATAAATTAAATAACTGGAATAAACTTCCTCACTTGTTCCTAAAATACTCCAACTGGTACATGCACAGTGACTGCAATGCACACAGACAACTATGTTATTTTAACTAATCTTAAGGGGGGAGGTGAAAAGCAAGTTTCATTTCCAGTTATTCCCAAAATATAGCAGCTTTAAAGAAATATTAATAACAACTAAGGACTGAGCTTAAAAATGGCAGCGCTGGAAAGTATTGCATATCAGAAAGCACTGTGTTTATTCCAGGAAAATAAGATATTTGTTTTTATCTATTCTCCTTCTCTTTTCCTTTTTCATTGCACTGAGGCCATTCTGCATGATGGTCCAGTCAGTGCTCTCTTGGACTCTGCGGTAAAGTGGGCAAATAGTTTTGATGACACTAAAACACATTTCTTTTTCAAAAGGATTTTAACAAGTTAACAAAAGCAGGCAGGCTAATTCACCTCAATGTTTCCCAGTAAGGATTAAGAAGGGATTTGATTTCATCATCCCTACAATCAAAATCTAGACTCACATTACACATGGTTACACCCTCTCTGTTTTAAAATTGGGAAAGCGCCTGCCTTTTGACGCTTACTCTCCTTACGCTCAGGGCCCAGAGGGGAAGTGAAAATCCTATTCGAAACACAGAGCAGGCCAGGAAATATCCTACTTA